GCGCCAACCACACTCAGCTAATTTTTGTCTATTTTTTAGTAGAGACGGGTTTCACCATGTTGCCCAGGAATGGTCTCCTGACCTCAACTAATTTCACTCACTCGGCTTCCCTAAGTGTTGGGATTACAGGCGTGAGCCTGTAAGTTAATATTTAAATCCAACACAGGAGTTGAGACTATTTTTTTCTGGCTCAGTGCCACTGCTTCATCAGTGCTGAACCATTTTAATCTATGTTTATTTTGCACTTAAACTGGCGAGTTACGGCGGGCGGCTCAAGCAATTTGGGTCTTATTCTGAGGCAGTAAGTTCGATTGCAGGGCGAAGCCTGGGCCTTGACGTTCTCCTTCAGCAGGGATTTCCGCCAGTCAGGCGCCAGCAGCCGTACCTTTAAGGAACCTCTTGAAATAACAGACACAAACTGCCCATCTGTAAAGTCAGCCTCATGCATCCATGCTTTTCCCCTAATTTCAGATCCTCTTATCAGTAAAAGCGAATTATCTGATCCTTTTTTGGCCCCAAATGGCTGCGTGCCCCCACCGCCAGGTCGCTGAGGAAAGACCCTTTCCGCCCATCTGAGCAAAGCCGTAGGCTGTTAACTGGTAGCACCCCAATCCTAGATGCGTTCGGAGCCGAAGGTCAACGAGACTGCCTGCCAGTTAGGACGACACACCAACAGTCTTAGTTCCAACTCGAGGATAGCCAAGCGGACTCTCTGCAATGCAACCAATGGGGGAATTGCCTTTCCAGAGCTCTTTCTCAGGAGCGTTGACTGGCTTATTTTCACGCCAATCAAAGTTTTCTGCACAACTGGCTTTTCTGTCACCAGATGTGATGCGAACCGCTCTCTCCCTCGGTAGAGAGGGCAAAAAGCAGAGCCGACCGGGAAATACCACAGAACAGCAAATCACCTCCGGAAGTGGCGTTTGGGGCCGCTTTCTACCATGGAGTCCAATGAACTCTTTCTTTTGGCAGCAAATTCCGTCTTCGAGCCCGCCCAAGAGGAAGAACATTTTGATTGGTTGTTTAGTCGGGGGACGCAGAGACTCACGGGAGCTTCGTCCAAGCACTTGCAGGTATTGCTCAGTTGGCCTGTCAATTTTCTCACTCGCTTGAAGGGGCGGAAACTGGCAGCCCTTTTGGCACCGCCTCTTCCTGAGCTGCTGTGCAAGGAGGCAGCGAGGCCGCCCCGGCTGGGAACAGCCGCGTGGGCGGGGCCGCATTGCACTGTCCGGACAGTTCCTGGGCCGCGAGGCGCGGGGAGTGGCCCTAAGCGCGGGGCTGTACGGGGAGGGCCGGGGCGTGGGGCGAACGCGGGGGCGGGGTCGGGGCGGGGCCGGGGAGGCGGAAGCGGCGCGTGAGCCTAAGTCGGAGCCGCGTTGAAGCCAGCGTCCGGGCCGGCAGAGCGGCGTCGGCTGGGTTGGCCGGGGCGGTGTGGCGCTAGAGCCTGGGCGGGCCTGGGGCGAGGAGTCAAGGCTGCGGAGAGGGTGACGGGCGGGCGGAGGGCTTGTACCCGTGTGGTCTTCGGAGCGGCCAGAGGTCCGGCCTCCGAGCGGTCCCGGAGGAGGATGCGACCGGGGGGCCCCGGGCGGGGCGGGCGGCGGCGGCTGCAGCGCTAGCGGCGCGGGGGCTGGGCGGCGGCGCCGGCATGAGGCGCAGGGCCGGTGTCCGCGGGAGGGTGGCGCTGCCGGCGGCCCGGCCGCTCCCGCTGCAATTGCTCGCTGGGCTCGCCGTGCCCTGCCAGTGGGGCCCCCGCCGCTCTGGTCCCGGCCGCCGCTGGTGACCACTCGCCACCCCCCCGGAGGCTTCACCCGCGCCCTCCCCCAGGACGCGCCAGCGGAGCTCCGGCCCCTTCGCCCTGGACGCGGAGGCCGCGCTGTGCGGGGCGACGGCGAGGCCGGAAGATGGCCTGGGTGCTCAAGATGGACGAGGTGATCGAGTCCGGGCTGGTGCACGACTTCGACGCCAGCCTCTCGGGCATCGGGCAGGAGCTGGGCGCCGGCGCTTACAGCATGAGGTACTGGGCGCCCCGGGTGGCGAGAAGCTCTGTCTCCTTGGGGAAGGCCTGCGCAGCCCTGAGTCTCTGCCAGATGCGGCTGCTCCCAGAGGTGCACGGGCCTCCTGGGCTGCGGGGTTGGAGTCCTTGCCGCGTGGCGGTCGGGGGCTATGGAACCCCAGAGGCCTCTGTTCACCCTGGTGACGAGCGGGTGGGGGAGGGTGGCCCCGCAAGCTTCGGCCTCGGACCGCTCCTGAGTGCTTCATATTTGCTGTAAAACACGCCCAGCTATTAGAATGACTTGGGTTGGTGGGGGAAGGGGCTTCCTTTCCTTACAAGTGATTTACAAGCCCCGTTGGAGCTAGAATACACTGTACGAAAAGGCAGCACTTATATTGGGAGAATACTGTCCAGCGTTTTGGGGTCAGCTGTCCTACATTATGGTTTTTTTCTGGCTGCAGGTTTTAATCACTTGATGATAGTAAATTATAATTGAAAGAGCAGCGGTGGGAGTAGCACTGTGACTTCGTTTGGTTTTTTTTGATTGTCTCAAAGTGAAGTTTCCCATTTTGGAGACTACCCTCTCAGGCTATTGCCTCTTGAGGGTTTTAAGATGCAGTGATTGCACCACAAACAATTGTTTAGTCTCTGCTGTCTGTACCAGCGGTCATTCATTTTAATATTGAGAGGTTGAAACAGATCTGAGCTTAGTCTCTGCCCTTTATCCTTTTTAACTGGTAGGAGTTTGGAAGCTCTGTATTTTTTTAGTGGCTCTATTGAAATATAGTTTACCATAGCGTTGACTCGACTAATAAAGTATAAAAGTCAGTGGTTTGGCAGCTTTTCAATAATGTGAATTAAGTGTAGCTTTCTGTTCTTTAGAAAATGTCTAATGTCTTGGAAGTGCTCTACAGTTACCCAGTAGCATTCATACATCTTACTGCAGCTCTAGAGGAGGAATTCTGGGTCAAAGCTGGCCTGGAATCATGGTGGCTGCTCCTTGAAGTAATTGGGTCTTTAAATCTTAAAGAGATATTCTGAGCCATAAAGAACTCTCAGAAAGGTTGGAGACATTTTTCGGAGTGTGGAAGTGAGTGGTGGAAAGCGTATGAAACCTGGAGTTCCCCACCGTCTGGCTCTGATTTGGTCTCTGCTGGGCTTCCTGAACTTGGCACCTCTTCTCTCTGCAGTTGTATAACTTAAGGCCTGTAGATGAGGTGGCTTATTTTCTAAAACAGTTGTCTCAGTTGTTCAGGAAATTGAGCTACTGAAAGTCGTGGAGTCACCCCAGAGGGAAGTGTTAGAGGCAGCGCTTCTCTGGTGAAAACGCACTCCTCTAGTGCCGTTCTGCTCCTTAGCTCTACTGGAAACACGAGGCTTACAGTCACGGCAAAAGAGGCACGTGAAGCAAGTTCATATGTGTCTCTCCTCAACTGCTTCTCTCTTATGGTAAAATGAAAGTTTGCTGCTGAAAAGTTTACTTATAGATAGCTATTTTGAGCGTTTACTTTTTTCTAGGGTTTTATTTGACCTCTAATTTGATTTGGTGATTCAGTCAACTTATTAATGTAATAATTTATGTGTATAATTTATTTCCGTGAAAAGGAAGTACAATCTTGATGATTTTAAACCTTTCCCTGACCATGTATTTTTAAAGTAGTGTGTGAGATCTTTGTAATTCTGTGTAACCTACAATACTCTTTATAGGGATAAGTTTCCCTTGAATGCTTTTTTGGTTGTGCCGTGTAATCTAAATTTTCAAAGACATTTGAAGGTAATTACCATTTTTAAGAAGCTTATTTTTTTCATATTTAATTGAGTCCTCAAAAACTAAGAGATGAGAGTGCTTGCATCTTGCAAATTCAAGGCCCTTTGTTTGAAATTCTCAAACTAAGGAAATTCCAAAATTGACTGGATAAGGAGAAAATGTGAAGAAGGCGTTAGCTGCTGCAGGCCTCCCTGGACTGCAGTTGTACTTTCCATGCCTGGCCCTGGAACCCTGAGAGGGTTTGGGGTGCCCATGAATGGCTCACTCATTCTCCAGCGTGAGCATTCAGTCACTTCCTCTTGCATCCAGTAGGAAGGAAAGCTTATCTTTCAAAGTTCAAGAAGTAAACTTGAAGAAATTACTGGAAAAATGACTTCTTGATACAAATTGATTTTGTCGGCAGCTTTCCATTTTTCTTTCAAAATGAAACATGATTACTGTATTTGCTTTTTGGATGGCTTCAAAAACAAGAGGTATTTCTTAAGACTTCTCTTAAGGAATGGTTTCTTCATCTTTTGGGAGGATAGTTTGAAAGGAAGAAATGGCTTCTCTCAGCGGTCTGACTTAAAAATAGCCAAGTGTGATGTTTGGTATGCTTGTAGACCTAGCTACTTGGGAGATTGCTTGAGCCCAGAGATTCAGGGGTGTAGTGTGTGCTATGATTGCACCTGTTAATAGCCACTGCACTCCAGCCTGGGCAAGAATGAGACCCCCTTCTCTTTCGTTCCCCCTCCTTCTCTTAAAAAGGTAGGAAAAATATGTTTGTGTAAAATAATGTAGGCTGGTAATATTGGGAATATATTGGGGCTAATTGATAACATTACCTTTGCTTCTCTTTTTTTCTTTTGGCTCTGGTTCTCATGTGTTCTGTGTGTGCTGTTGTATTATACTTTTTTTGTTGTTTTTGTTTAGTTTTTTTTTTTTTTTTTTGGTATTTGGGTGTGAGATGTGAACTGCAGCAGATTCTATTTGAAATGAGGCAGGTCAAAAATATTTTTAAAAATCTTGGTTACAGTAACAATTTTAGAGATGGATAGAGACCTCAGAAACCTTTTAGAGTCTAGACCACTCATTTTCTTATACTGTAAATGCATTATCTGAGGGTCATAGATGTTAAAGTGATTGGCTTAAACAGATGAAGGCTGATTTTTTCCCCCACACAGAGTGAAGACTGAAACCCATGGTAACTTGAAATCTGGGTCATTCTTGTTTTGTCAAGTATGGAGTAGATAACCAAATGACTTTAAAAAGTAATACTCGTTAAAACTCAGAGACGGTCTTTGAACCACCTGGTAATTTTCTTTCCATCTCACTGTTTGAAATTTGTCATCTGTAGCCAAGTTAATTTTTAGGATTTGGGGGTTCAATATTGAAATACTTTTGAAGATAATAGGAAGTAATGGCTTCTTTAACTTACTCATAAAAATTTTGGTATTAAATTCTCACTTTAAAAAAGGTATTATCTGAGCCCTGTTTGTTAAACTTCGCTGTGGTATAAATCTTTTGAAACAAAAGATAATACATTATGTATTTTGAAATGGGAGGTATGTCCATAGTTTACAAATAATTTGCTAAATCAAAACTGCTTTGAGTTAATGACAGATTTCCTATATTGATTGAAAGGTAAAATGTTTAAGAAATCTGTTGTACAACAAGGTTACTATAGTTAATGATACAATGTATTGAAAAATGCAAAGGGTGGATGTTAACGTTCTCACCACAGTGATAACTGAGGTAATACATTTGTTAATTGGTTGAATTTAAACATTGGACAGTGTATATATGTCAAAACATCATGTTGTACAGGGTGGGGGGTTATGCTATTATCTGTCACTGTTTAAAAAGTTAAAAAAAATTAGTGTTGCAGACCCTGTAGGGTAACAGAATTTCAACTTAGATCAGTATTAAGTTAGTAAAAGATTAGTAAGGATAGGGTTTATTATGTAGCTATTAATAGTTGATGATTTTCTTTTGGTCTCATGCTAAAATAGAATGTCCCTGAGTAGGTGACATATATCTTGGAAGTACAGATGATCCCCAACTTAGGATGGTTTGACCTAAAATTTTTGTTGTATAAGCCATATACATTCAGTAGAAACACCTTCAGTAGACACTGTATGTTGTATTTTGAATTTTGGTCTTTCCCAGGCTAGTGATATATGGTATGATGCTCTTGTGATGCTGGGCAGTGGCAGTGAGCCATAGTTCCCAGTCAGCATACTGTGTTGCCAAATGGTTTTCCCCGACTGTAGGCTAATCTAACTGATCTGAGCATGTTTAAGGTAGGCTAGGTAAGCTATGATGTCCAGTAGGTTAGGTGCATGAAATGTTTGTTTGAGACTAGGTCTTGCTTGCTCTGTCACCGATACTGGAGTACAGTGGTACAATCACGGCTCACTGCAGCCTTGACTTTGCTGGGCTTATGCAATCTTCTCACCTCAGCCTCCAGAGTAGCTGGAACTACAGGCAGTGCCACCATGCCTGGCTAATTTTTAAAATTTTATTTTTAGTAGAGGTAAGGTCTTGCTATGTTGGCCAGGCTGATGAATTTATCTTTGATTTATGATATTTTCAACTTACAATGGGTTGATTGGGACTTTATTATATGTTAGGGAACATCTGTGTAGAACAATTTTAAGGTTGGTGAAATTTAAAAATTTTATTATGGTTCTTCAGAATACTGCCAGAATTGGCAGTGATTTCTGGTTTTTTCCCTAGAATCTTTTCATGAAGCAGTTTCTATAAAACTTCTACTTTCAAGGTTTAACCACTTTTTCCTGGATTTAATCTTGGCTGCATTACAGGAAATGATTTAGTAAATTAACTCATTTAAGAAATTTATTGATTTAAGATTATAGTGTCCACATTTTAAAATTTATTACTATAAAGCTGAGGTTGGCAAACGTTTTTTGTAAAGGGCTAGGTAGTAAATATTTTAGGCTTTGTGGGATGTATAGATTCTGTCACATTTTGTTTTTTACAACCCTGGCTGGATTTAGCTCTTAGGCCATAGCTTGTCCATCCCTGCTCTAAAGGATAGAGTCACCGGGCACAGCGGCCTAAACCTGTAATCCCAGCACTTTGGGAGGCTGAGGCAGGTGGATCACCTGAGGTCAGGAGTTTGAGAGCAGGCTGGCCAACATGGTGAAACACTGTCTCTACTAAAAATACAAAATTAGCTGGGCATGGTGGCACATGCCTGTAATCCCAGCTACTGGGAGGCTGAGGCAGGAGAATCACCCGAGCCTGGGAG